TACCATGAAATATGTGTTTAGCTGCCAAATTTTCTGCGTCACCCCAGTTAGGGCAACACTGTGACCCACCCTGAATTTATTTGATGGGTAGCCGGCTGTACTGGATGTTGCAGCTAGGTATTGTATGGGAATTTTATTCTGAAAGTCATGAGTTATTCTTACAAGACAATTTATACCATGCATTTAAGTAACAAAAGCCCGCCACTTGAGGCCGTTATGCCGGAATTTATCTTTACTTGGTAGTTTAGTGTGTATTCCGATCATAAGCATACAAGACGATTAGCAGCGGTTTACGCGTATGACAAATTGTGAGGCTTCTTTATTTCTAGCAACATACGAAGGCTCAACTTTTCGTTCTTACGTTGGTTCCCATTCAATTTCACTGCATCACAAAATGTCTACAATTGGTTTGTCTCGGTGATTTTTAAGATCGAAAAAGTTTTCGGCTACTGAAAATAAAGACATGGTGACAGTTGTATTGTGATGAGCCCTGAAACGTGACAGGGTAATAGGAATTTTACGGTCAAAGCTGCAAGCATCATTTTACAATTGCACTGAACTGAGGTGTTTTGGGGATAATTCCTGAAGTAGAATGAATGAATAACATTCTACTTATTGGATATTTTAGACTTTTTTCACTCTATCTTGCAGACATTGAGTGGCTGACATCCTGTCAGTTTATTTAAGTTAACATATCAGCTCTCTAGAGTGAGCATCAAGGCTAGATCAAGGCTAAATCAAGGCTACATGTCTACTTAATCTTCATGCAGCATTACGTTGCAGACCATCCAAGATTTGACCAACAAATCCACTATGTATGTTTCCAGAGGTCGTTTGTGAAATGTGTTTTCTTCAGCGGAGAGCACTTGAAAGCACAGATATGGCTCAACAGTATGGCGACTAAAATGTCCAACATACGCATTACTCTATTTTATGCGAATGGTTGCATGTACTGCAGCACACTGAATGAGAATAAGTGCATTTTACTCTGCTTTACACACCTGATAGTCAGCAGCCCTAACAGCGGCGTAGGGTCAAACCGTTAAATTAGACTGCATACGGTGCGAATGTACCAACGAACAATATGAAATCATTTGGAGTCAGTTGAATGAGATATGTCGAAATTACTAACAAAAGCCCTCAATGTGCAAGAAATGTTTCCACCGCTGTTGCGTTCAAGGCGAAATGCTGTCTAAGCCCAATATGACTGTATAGCATTCAACGTTCAACATCTTTTTGGAGGATACAAGAAGGCACTGATATGTTATTTTACATTACAGAGAACAAAACCATGCGGGATGTAATACAAATGATACCCACAGCCATGACTCTAGTCAACACAAAGATGATAGTGTGAAGTTTGAATGGGTGTTTGCTACAACTGAGTACACTAAAAACTGTCTAAATTAACAGCGTTTGAAACCGACAGCATTAAATGAGAGAGTTGAGAATGAATGTGAAACGTTTGTGTTCGAGAGAAATCTTGGCACAGGTGCACAGCGGCATGGCACCTAGGGTATTCGGCCAGTTTCAAAAGTAATAAGTGTGTCTGGTAGCTGACACATGTGTCAAAAATGTACACACTCTACGCGCACCAAAGACCAAGTTAATAAAACGGTACTCAAGCCTGTTATCTTGGAACTAAAATAAGCGACATACTGGCATTGCGTGTACATTTTGTGCGATATGAAGGAATCACCCTCTGGATATTACGTGATATTGTTGGACAACTAAAACTATTTTTTTAAACCACCATCCAAAGTGTTCGTCTTAGTATTTAAATAGCACCTGCATGTTGGCTCTTGGAATGACTTGATTATCCGGTAAACAACTTTTATTTCCCGATTGAAAGATGCGAGGAGTTAAAACGGATTGCTTAGGTGTGTGAAGTCTATGTAAAGACGTAAAAATGCTCGTTCATTTGTCATTACACGAATCACTGAAGCTGAGGGCATGTTCACTGTGAGAATGGAAGACCTTCTAGCTCCCTGTTTATTCACGTCACGATAGAACGACCACAGCACAACGGATACGCATTCAAAGCAATACACGTCGAAGGATATTCCAGACTCAGAGCTGCGAATTTAGCCGCCCAGTCGGATTAAGAACAACATATATATATTTTTTTAAAAAATTCCGGAAAGGATGTCGGAGGCCACATTATTGCCACATAGAATCACCTGAAGAGCAGATTCTAGAGTCTTCGTGTATTGAAATCTAGAGACGGGAGTCAACCGCCCCGTGGAACTGTTGTTGAGGTAAACGCACACATGTGCAGAATTGCGGCAAATTATTACCAACATTATTTGATCAGATGCTGGGCTCCATAGTTAAAAACTCAAACTGAACAATGGTAAGAAATTTTCATGCCCAAAATGTCTTAGTACATGGCTTTGGTCGGCAATACACAAAACTGCGTGGAAAGTGTCGTCTTCTGGAAATAAATGGTGCAGTATAAGGAGAACTTCACAGAAAAACAATTTACACTTTTCTGTCCAGCTCCAGAGCATACAAACGTTGGAAAATTGACAGGTTTCAGAATGCCTACTGACGAACACACGTGGTTAAAGATGGAAAGGTGAAAATCAATAGGTATCTAGATCGGTGCGCACGAGCGGCGAGTGAAAAAGGGCCTGCAGTGTAAATCTGAGAAAACAAAGCGTGCAGTTAACTGTTCTGTCGTTTTCCGTTAGACCACAAGGAGCAGTTGCCAGAAATTGGCAACAAAATCGCAAGATTTTTCTGATCATTTGGTTTTCTATGTAAAATTGTCAAGTTTGCATCACACAACATTAGTTAAACAACTCCTATGCACGTTTTCTTTCATGCCAGATGATGTCAATAATAATTGTACGGAAAGCAGAAATCAAAGAGTGTCCGCTTACGAAAAATCGTCAAAAAGACGTGATCCTGGACAATCGTAGGAAACACTCTATCCACCGTTTCAAATGGTGATTCATATTGTTAGTTAGCCTATCAGATTTGCTAGCAGAATGGCATCCAAACGATCTACCATCCTTCCATTTAAGATGAAAACTTTGGTAATCAATCGTACCATAGTGAAAAGTCCTCAATTCGGATTTACAGATGTAATGATATTTGATTATCATTTAAACAACCAACTAATGATAATTGGTGGTCGGGCCTGCGCATTGCATAATGAATGAACCGTCTTCAACATTCTCAAATGTATGAAATTATTCAAAGATGGGGAAGGTATATACGGCGTTTTGAAAAAAACGCAAACCAACAGCAGATGCACTATGAAAAGAAACGTCCAATTCCATTTGTACACGTCAAATTGACTGAGTGCCGTTTCCGGTGCTCAGGACAATGCTGTTAAAAATAGCTTTTTCACAGCGAGCACTTCACTACTTTCACTGTAGTTAATGGGAGCGAAAAATCGTGCCTTGTACAAACGTGTCCCACGGATGACATTGTGTTTATTCAAGTCCATGTTACAAATCCACATGTATTATTTTCAGTAAACTTCAACCGGGTTTTGAAATTGACACAAAATACACTGTGGAATTTTATGTCATCCAAAGTGTCCAAGCTGTGTAGACGTTGGCGACGTCCACAGAATAATGTGGCTCTTCTCTCTGTACCACATGGCTTTGGAGAGAACATTAAATGATATTTGACACTCATGCCATTTGTCCCTTCATTATGAAGAAGCACCTGAGTTATGTTTCTTTGAGTCTTACTCTTAGAGTCTTACTCTTTAGAGCAATTGCAAAGATGAGCAATGATAACTGTATTAGAGCGCATTTAGCCTAAAGTGTATTTGTACCTGAATTTTTATATTCTTATGATATCACATCTTACGTCCGCTTTGGTTATTTACGATATAAGAACACTATGGTGGTTTCCGTAATGCATACTCAGGGAGAGGCGGAATGTTAATGGACTAATGCAGTAACGTTTACTGTCTGCATGAAGAAAACCGGTATCTTCGGTTTTCATCACCTGTAAGCTTATACAAACCATTTTTTCACTGCTTTTTCTTGATGCTTTCATTACCTGGATAATGCTCTGTCATTATTTGTTATTAGGCCCCATAATGCCGTCCGTATATATTTTCGTGTTTCATTGGAGAGAAGTAACATATAGGTAGTCGGGTATGAGTTAATACGTCAGATAATTAATTTTGTGGTTTTAAATGGCTAGATCTAGCAATTACTGAACTGTCGAGAAGAAAGTGAGCAGTTATCATTAATATGAAGGTCGTAAGAGTCACCTTCACCCCCCGATCAAGTACAACAATCATGCCATCAGAATGATGGTTTCAAACTTAACATCAAAATAGTCATAATCAAATGATCGACATGTTTGTCGAAAAAAGCACTCCGTTGAATAAAATAAAAATTAACAACGCCAAACCGTTTACCCCATCGCTCGGCATACCGCCGTGTGATTGCTTTTTAGCACGCGTCTACAAAGTCACTTCGTCGAGCGCGCCACTTGCTGGTGACCTACTAAAACCACTTAAGTTACCGGATGGCTTTTGGATGCGAACAAATGGGACGTGCAAAATGACGCCCTTCCTTAGCCCAGACCACTCCCCATGTGCGCGATTTATGAGACCATCCTACAGGTTATTCTCATCCTACGTCGGAAGCTGAGGGAAGCCAACACTGTATGTTACACAAATCGTATTAAACAGTCAAATCAAGAGGGTTGCAGCTAAAGGACGAGACAGCATTATTCACTTTTACATAGACAAACACGCTCATCTGATTAGAGATTATGGGTACAGGGGATCACATTTTTCTTTTAGATGTGACGTGTTTCTATTCTATTTCACAAATTCACAGGTAGTGAGTAATATAACCCTAGCGTGTGAAACAGTGCCTGAAAGTCAAGTACGTCAAGCATGAAAGAACCTGCCCTTCCCTTGAAAAGATTAAAACTAGAGATATATGTTGTGTCAACACGAATTATTCGTATAAATATAACCCTATTGGTCACTAACCCAAAATAAAACAATAGCAACCTACATCACGCGTAGTCCTCCTTTCGAGCACCACTTTTCTTCGGTAGGTTTGACGGTATCGTTTCCCGTTGATCACAAACTCCTCCGAAACCTGTTCTTCTCGTGGTAAAATCGAACTTCCTTTATTCTGGGCTGATTCCATTTCCAGTAGTGGGCCATAATCTATTCCGGTCATACGATCGATTGTGTTTGCTTTCGAAGCCAGCTTGCATTTCCTGCCTCCTCTTGACCATCTACAACTTCTTGACATAGGTGTGCCGACTGTGTGAAATCTTCTGTACGACGGTCGTCGATCAACGTCTGCTTCGGAACTATCTTCCTGTGGAACACAAACACATAATAATGACATGAATGTTGGATCACTTAACGGAGAACTTTAAAAGAGTTTGCTTTAATTGGTTAGCATTCTGAGTGAAGCTTGTAAGGAGCAGGTAAAGGCTAACTGTTTCATAGCTGCGCAAAGTTCTAAAAGTCATTTTCAAAGCACAACCACAGCATGAAACATATACTAGTCCTCAAACTCAATTGATTGCTTTCGCTAGCTCTACTCCATTTTCATAGATCTGTATGTACTTTTACTGCCACTTACGTTGTATCTTTTATATTTGTGGGTTTTTGAAGCACAAATGGCAAGCTCCGTGATAGCACTGAGGACCTTTTCTGTTGACAACTCCTTATGCCACTACAGTGGCCCCAGCTGTGTGAAAATTTTTTAATAATTTGAAAGACGGTTTTAATATACCAAACACCTCAGCGTAAGTCTAATAAACTGCAAATAAGCCGTGCTGAACTGTGCACGCGCAGCTTATTTGAGCAGGATCATTTGGCTGAACAATTGCCGGCAGGACTTACTTTGGCACGTATTCAAGGATCTTATTTTATTGGTTCTGGTTTGTACTGCCAAATCACATCCGCAAATTCGGGTGGACAGCTAGACATCTTATGAAGCAGTGACGTAATGAACTTTACTCGATGAGTTTTTACGGTTAGTTCTCTCATTTATTCACTTAGCAGCACGATAGCTCCTGTCAAGCCATGCCGGACGGACGTTGCTAGGTGATAACTTATGGGTAGTTGTCTAAATAATACGCCCCTCTTTCTACAGTTGTATTGCGTCAATTCTAATTCTGATTTACTTTTGTCCAATTCTCCCGAATCGTCATCGGGAGAAAGCTACATGCTGGGAAAACTTCTGCACATTTTCAAGCTGTCTTGATTACATTTTCTTCTGGCTTGGCTACACAACCGAACGTGTTTTGTATCCTCAAGGAACAAAACTTGAACATGTTACATACAATGTTGTCCATGTTGGCTTCCACTAAACGGAAACCTAAAAGGTGCTACCAAGAAATCGTGTCCTATGTTGTTCAATGTGCCGACAATTTGGGGGCGCATTGTGAAAACTCGGAGTGGATGCTTGCTTTGAGAATTAGGTTCCCGTCAACAGATAAGTAATTGGTAAAATATCAATAGATAGGCATCCTTTTTCAAATCACTTCAAGTGAATTCAAACCACAGTGAACTGGCTAGCACCACATCATAAGTCTGCTGGTGTGCACTCACTTTAAAAGCGAGAACCTTTGGATTTAGTACAAAAATTTGGCGAGTTTTTGAGATAGGACACGGCAGGTGATTAGTATGGGTCATATCGCACACATAGTCCACTGTGTGATGTGATGCGACGCCTCAGTGCGCAGAGCACAATAGATATGTGTCAACCGATTTCTGGGTTCAGATTTAGATCATCGAAACAAAATTTTATTCATGCTAATTCTTCAAGCCCTGGAGAGCTATCTGACAAGAAATGGGTTACGCCCTAGTGAAGCGCGTTGAATTAGGACGTTTGCTTCGTGTCCTCTAGTTGCTTCATGTAGGCGTGGTGCTCCGCTTCAAATTTACTACAAAGTTTGTTTGAAGTATAATCAGAGACCAGAAAATAATAAATGTCTTCGGTATATGTTTCGCGAAAAGTTCGTTGATGTCACGGTGGATGGAACTTTTAAAACTTGGTTTCATTCAAGTGAAGCGACGACATTTTAGGCAAGTGCGTGTGAATTCTCATGGCTGGGGTTCCCGAGATCACATTCTGCTGCAAGAATGCGTGAGTCAGTATTTGTCTAACCCGCGTGAGTATCCCATCGTGTCCTCAGCTAGTCCATGTTTTTGTGTGTGTAATCTGAAGTAATTTATTAGGGAATTTCTATGCGCTCTTCCATTAACTGTGTCACACACATCCACACCGACAGATTGCTATCGTTCAGCAGTCTGTGTTGGTTTTCCAGGAGGAGGAGGAAGGTCTGTAGAGTGTTTGTGGGTTCAAAGGTTCTCTTGAAAGTCACTTATAACAAAAAAACTCTATTTGTGCTTTGGTCACATTGCTGACTAACAAATTCCGAATTAGGAAGTAAACCAGTATCTTTAGTCACGAACTTGTCTGCATTCCTTTGCATGCTTTTTCCTTTTTCTTGTGAGGGATGTCACAGAAAAGCTATTTCATTTTGTCAAACGTACCAGAGTAAGTTGACCTGGTTTAATGGAGCTGCGCCACGATACACTTTACAACGCTATATCTTATGTCGTTTTAGGTCAACAAATTATAACACGGCTAAGCTTTTACCTTCCGATTCGAAGCCGGGGGGGGGTCGTTCCGAGATGAAACAGATCTGACAGAATTCAGTATTGATCGGGAAAACATTATATGCTTCTGTCGCAAAACATGGGGGGCAAAGTGCTGTTTAACTTCTATTTCTAGATAATGGCACATGAATTCATTCTCAACTTTCGTCATCATAAGTTTCATTCTGGAATAGACGGGTAAATTTTGGCTTCTTCTGCCTCAACTACGGCTTAACACTGACTGGTCTAATACAAACATCCAAATAAGCGGACTACGAACAACGAACAGTGATACACGTCATCAGGCATCAGAACCGATTTAAGTACAATTGAATATTCTGGCTGGATGCAACAATGCAACTGCTCCTATTTACAACGAATAAATGTTCAAGGGTCAAAACCATTGGCAATCACGATAAATCTCAGACCAAACACGGTTGTTGGTGCCTTGCTGCTACAGGTTTTGATATTTGTCGAAATCGCCCAACGTAAAAAATAACACCTCATTGACACATTCAACTAAGAAATGGCGGAGAAAATGTATCTTACTGATGGAAACACTGTATAGGCGATAAGATTTTTCCATTGGAATCAAACGTGGAACAAATCAAATGTGGAACAAATCAAAAGTGGAACAAATGATATTACATGTACAAATTTCGAAGAGATGGGTTGCCGGATTCCTTGTCTCTGATACGCCATATAGGGATTGGTACTACCCGTCGTCATATTGCTCCACATATTGTAGTTCAAAGTGTTTGATACTCTCCTATTCTGAAGAATAATTAATCTGGTTGTCAATTTTGGCTTCCAAAAATTCCAAAGCTCTAGGGAATTTACGATGGCAAAAACAGATTGGGCTAACTTTCAGCATCCGTTTGCGTGGTGAGCATACATGATCAGCCGGAAAATGATGGAGTATTAACCACTCAAATAAGCTGAAGTAGTGGTAACCATTTTTAAACAGAAAAGTTTTTGGAAGCGTACAAGTTATATTTTTTGTGCTGTTTTTCACCTTGTCATCTGCGATCCGAAATGAAATAGCTTTGAAGCATCGTTAATTAAAAAACTGAATAGGTTTACGCCTCGTTAACAAGCAGAAAATAAATAAGAAACTATTTTCGGGTAATTTTAACGCGTTCAGTTCATGAATATGATTTGAGAGCCGTTTACTTTTGAGCAAAAAGCCGGGTAACCATGTGGCGCCAAGCCATTTCTTCAGTATGCAACACTGAGTCTGACGAGTCTTGTGTGCACGCTAACAAAAATCAACGGTTCCTTTCCCAAAAGTTATCACGCCCGGTCAGGAAACTCAGTTTTTCCCATCTTTTCTACAAGCAAGCACACATAAGGGATAAATTCATGACTCCGAATGAGGTATGTATCTTGCGTAAGTTATTAATAAATAGGCCGAATTACACCAAGTACACACCAGCACACCGACACGGTTTCCAACATCTTGGGTTTATGTGTGTAGTCTTCGTTCTCGCCGCCATGAAACATATCATATTGCACCAATGACTCACTGAATTACTACAAATCCTTTGTTAGTTGACTTCCTCTTCTTCGACGGATATCATCTTCCAATCGTCTGCCCATAACTCAGCCAGCAAGCTTAAGTGGTGCCATAAAATTGATCTGTGTTGTGTGATTTTTGCTGTATTCCGGTGAGACATGCTGTACGCGAAAACGTCTGTTGTGTGCATGCTAAAGTAGCGTGTTTTTCTGTGTCCGTTCTCTCCTGGAATCCGGTCAAGCTAGTTGAAGCCTCGTGGTATGTAAATGGCAACAAATTATGCACAGGTGTCTCCATTCTTTGTTGAATGTTATTGCACAGGAAACCAGTTAAGTTGAATGCGATTTCCAAACAATGGTGAACTTGAAAGACATATGGAATGCACATGAAAAAAACAAAGGTATCGCAAGTCATCTATGACAACATATTTGTAAAATCACAGCCGTTTTATGTTAACAAGTTGCAGTCTAACCGCGGGTGTCATATTCGCTCATTCTGGATGACCCATCGCTGATTCGTCACACATACTAATGTGGTGATACGTCCTTGTTTATTCTAAATGCCCTTGCCTGTAGCGATAGTTTTAAAAGACACATAAGTGAAGCACACATTACACTCGTGGCGACTTTAGAGATTAGTGCCTTCAGTGACTGGATTTGTGTGCAAGCGTTTCTGACTTTGTAAAGATTTTTGCTATCCATATTGACCAGCCTGCTAAGAAAAAGCTGGTCCATTTGCACTGAGTGTAACTAGAGTTTCATAAACTAAAATTAATAACTTACGACATATTCAAACTTCTTCCCAGCATGTAAACGTTATTAGCATATTAAATTTACTTTTGTCGGTACAAGCAAGCAAAAGCTCAGCTGCTTTTCGCAGTGACAGAAAACACTAAAAATCTGCTCGCGGATTTGGATGTATCACGTGACACTAAACAAGAACAAGCACAAAATTTCCAAAACCCAAGGTCTCGACAGTTTTGGTGGTAAGTCGGGGGATACTGTGAGTAACCAAACAGTTTCCATGCCATAAATTTGGCCAAACTACGGCCGGATGTACAACTGTTTCGCCTTGTCAGAAATCCATGGTAGTATGAAAACTACACGTTGCCAGAGGGGCTAAAACTCTTACCCTTCTGGGTCACAGAGGATAATCAGAAATCTGATCAAACCAAACATCACCAGATC